ATTCAGTCAATTATGTACCATACGTGATACACGCTTAGGCAATCATGTATCTTTCGATATATGACTGACGAGGCAGATCTTTTTTTCCCCGCAGTAGGTTGCCATTTCTTTCTGCGATAGACCAGTTGACATCCAAGGCTATATAACCCGGTCTGTCCTGCTATTTACACATAGCTGGGAGAAGAAGAGGATTTATACCTTTCCCAAGGGTATAAGCACATAAGTGAATATAATGAACTCGACTGGAATTCAAACTCGGCAATCCGACTGCACAATCTGAGCAGCTATCCATTACGCCACCGTGCCTCCCTTACTCCACCTCCCCCCCTTTTTCGCAAATATTAGTCGCATTAAAAGAATACCGGTCTATAAAACTTACCCGTGCCATATTCACAACGTTTCAGCCGTTGTACGCTCCGGCCTTCCTCAGGTGATTGGAATTTCGAAACGAAGGCTTTATTTTGTCCACCGGGAACACATGACTGAGTGGATAAAGACCCAGGTTAAATCCAGTGATTACAGAGTTGTGAGTTCAATACCAGGCCACAGCAGTGGTGAACCATAACTTGAAGAGTTGAGTCAAAACGAAATAGATGATACACAGCGAATCATAATAATCATAATACCTCATTTCAAAGATATAGACAGATATTGTACAGTTATGTTCCGTTGTGAACATGGCAATGAAGATGAGGATAACAGTCCGAATAATGTAAATAATGCAAGTAATCATAATACCTCATTTCAGAGATATAGACAGATATTGTACAGTTATGTTACGTTGTGAATATGGCAATGAAGATGAGGATAACAGTCCGAATAATGTAAATAATTCAAGTAATCATAATACCTCATTTCAGAGATATAGACAGATATTGTACTGTTATGTTAATTGTTTGTGAATATGGCAATGAAGATGAGGATAACAGTCTGAATAATGTAAATAATTCAATAATCATAATACCTCATTTCAGAGATATAGACAGATATTGTACAGTTATGTTACGTTTTGAATGGTTCAATGAAGATGAGGATAACGAAGTCTGAATAATGTAAATAATTCAAGTAATCATAATACCTCATTTCAGAGATATAGACAGATAAAGTTATGTTACGTTGTGAATATGGCAATGAAGATGTGGATAAAGTCTGAATAATGTAAATAATTCAAGTAATCATAATACCTCATTTCAGAGATAGGACAGATATTTACAGTTATGTTACGTTGTGAATACACTAATGAAGATGAGGATAACAGTCTGAATAATGTAAATAATTCAAGTAATCATAATACCTCATTTCAGAGATATAGACAGATATTGTACAGTTATGTTACGTTTTGAATATGGCAATGAAGATGAGGATAACAGTCTGAATAATGTAAATAATTCAAGTAATCATAATACCTCAATAGATAAGACAGATTTTCAGCAAATGTTGGTTGTTTTGAATAAAAAAATGAAGATGAGGATAACAGTCTGAATAATGGAAATAAGAAGTAACACAATACCTCATTTCAGAAAAGACAGATATTGTACAGTTATGTTCGTTGTGAATTTTCAATGAAGATGAGGATAACAGACCTGAATAATGGTAATCATAATACCTCATTTCAGAGATATAGACAGATATTTACAGTTATGTTACGTTGTGAATATGGCAATGAAGATTAACAGTCTGAATAATGTAAATAATTCAAGTAATCATAATACCTCATTTCAGAGATATAGACAGATATTGTAATTTATGTTACGTTGTGAATATGGCAATGAAGATGAGGATAACAGTCTGAATAATGTAAATAATTCTAATCATAATACCTCATTTCAGAGATATAGACAGATATTGTATTTATGTTACGTTGTGAATATGGCAATGAAGATGAGGATATTAGTCTGAATAATGTAAAATAATTCAAGTAATCATAATATCCATTTCAGAGACCATACCCCAGATATTGTACAGTTATGTTAAGTTGTGAATATTTAAATGAAGATGAGGATAACAGTCCGAATAAGCCAAATAATACAAGAATCATAATACCTCATTTCAGAGATATAGACAGATATTGTACAGTTATGTTAAGTTTTGAATATGGCAATGAAGATGAGGTTAACATCCGAATAATGTAAATAATGCAAGTAATTAATACCTCATAGCAGAGATATAGAAGATATTGTACAGTTCCCAAGGGTGAATATGGCAATGAAGATGAGGATAACAGTCCGAATAATGTAAATAATGCAAGTAATCATAATTCCTCATTTCAGAGATATATTCAGTCAATTCATTCAGTCAATTGAATATGGCAATGAAGATGAGGATAACAGTCCGAATAATGTAAATAATGCAAGTAATCATATATACCTCATTTCAGAGATATAGACAGATATTGTACAGTTATGCCATTAAGTCATTGAATATGGCAATGAAGATGAGTTAACATCCGAATAATGTAAATAATTCAAGTAATGTAATACTCATTTCAGAGATATAGACAGGGAGAAGAAGTTACGTTTTGAATACCAATGAAGATAAGGATAACAGTCCGAATAATAATAATTCGACTAATTAAAACTCGGCAAGAGATATAGACAGATATTGTATCAGTTACGTTACGTTGTGAATATGGCAATGAAGATGAGGATAACTTTTCCGAATAATGTAAATAATTCATTAAAATAATACCTCATTTCAGAAATATAGACAGATATTCAGTTAACGTTTGAATATGGCCGTTGAAGATGAGGATAACAGTCCGAATAATTAAATAATTCAAGTAATCGAATACCTTCATTTTCAGAGATATCCACCGGGAACACATGACGTTGTGAATATGGATGAAGACCCAGGATAAATCCAATAATGTAAATAATTCAAGTTCATACCAGGCCACAGCAGAGATATGAACCATATATTGTGAAGAGTTGAGTGAATAAAATGAAGATGATGATAACAGTCTGAATAAATAAAAATAATAATAATCAATACCTCATTTCAGAGATATAGACAGATATTGTACAGTTATGTTACGTTGTGAATATGGCAATGAAGTTGAGGATAACAGTCCGAATAATGTAAATAATTCAAGTAATCATAATACCTCATTTCAGAGATATAGACAGATATTGTACAGTTATGTTAAGTTGTGAATATGGCAATGAAGATGAGGATAACAGTCTGAATAATGTAAATAATGCAAGTAATCATAATACCTCATTTCAGAGATATAGACAGATATTGTACAGTTATGTTACGTTGTGAATATGGCAATGAAGATGAGGATAACAGTCCGAATAATGTAAATAATTCAAGTAATCATAATACCTCATTTCAGAGATATAGACAGATATTGTACAGTTATGTTACGTTGTGAATATGGCAATGAAGATGAGGATAACAGTCCGAATAATGTAAATAATTCAAGTAATCATAATACCTCATTTCAGAGATATAGACAGATATTGTACAGTTATGTTACGTTGTGAATATGGCAATGAAGATGAGGATAACAGTCCGAATAATGTAAATAATTCAAGTAATCATAATACCTCATTTCAGAGATATAGACAGATATTGTACAGTTATGTTAAGTTGTGAATATGGCAATGAAGATGAGGATAACTGTCCGAATAATGTAAATAATGCAAGTAATCATAATACCTCATTTCAGAGATATAGACAGATATTGTACAGTTATGTTACGTTGTGAATATGGCAATGAAGATGAGGATAACAGTCCGAATAATGTAAATAATGCAAGTAATCATAATATCACATGTCAGAGATCAAATCACCTGAAACTTCAAGTTGTAATTTGAGAATTTTTTTGTTGTACGAGTTTTTTTCAGCCAATGTGGCATGAACTAAATTGTTCAATAAATAGAATAATGTCTCAGCTGTTATCTCGAAAATTTTCACGTCGGATCAGTTGACTGAAAAAAAACTCCCACAAAAAAAAAATCTCAAATTACCATATTATTAAAAAAACGCACTCTCTTAAATTTTCAAAAAATTCAACCTTAGCGTTGCGACTGCACGCTCCAAAAGTTACTATTCGTTAGCAATAACACATTTCTAACAAAAACATATTTCTGTTCACATTTAATTTTTCGTGTCCACTTTTATTAGGATCTACTAAAAGAAACAAAATAATTTCCATGCCTGAGGATGGCTGTAAGTACAGCCGAAAGTACTAGCAGAATAAAAAAAAAACTTATACAACTTGTAGTTATTAGAAACAAGCATCATAATATTCATCGAGTGGTTCGTAGGTTAATGCAACTTTAATAAATTTGTTTGCGAAGAGTTTTCGCCATTTATATCATTAACTTTACTCATCTACTCTTTGTATAAATGATTCATGTAATATAAATTGAACTGCACCACATATTTGATATATATATATATATATATATATATATATATATATATATATATATATATATATATATGTTTAATTTGAGTAAAATTTGTCATTTAGCTGATTGATATTAGCTTCAGCATCCCGACTCCAGTGTTCCATAAGCGGACCTGTTCAATCACTCTTCATGGGGGTATCAGCAATTAACTGATTATATTTTTTCAATTAGAAACAATGATTCGATTTTGCAAAACCAGATGCTTCCTCTGTAGCTAAATGGTATAGCACGGCTGGTAAATGTTGTTAATACTGTTTATTATAAACAGAGAATTTACTTAAATATTGTATCTATAAAGATAACGTATCAATAGAAAAATATATTTTGTGGGACTTTTTTTTTTGAATGTGTTATATTAATGATAAAATCTAGAAGTTTTCGGCAATTGTTTGCCACGATTAAGTTTGTACAGGATTTGTAGAGGCTTTGCAGAAAGCTTTCTGTAGAAACTGTTATTTTATTGCCTGTGTTTTTTCAATATATACTAGCTGAATTACCCGAGTCTTGCTGCATGTCACATAGAAAATGATTTATTTTAAATCATTGTTATAGTTTGTGGAGAAAAATAATACATTTCAA